GCGTCACTGCAATCTCTGGCCTCCATTCACCGCCATTCTCCTGCCTCAGTCCTCCCAAGTAGGCTGGATACAGCACCATGCCACCATATCCAGCTATTGTTTTTTTTTTGTATTTTAGTAGTAGAGTTGCTTTCACTTGTGTAGAGGATGGTCTCATCTCCTGACCTTGTGATCCCGCGTGTGTCACTCCCAAAGTGCAGATTACAGGTGTGAGCCCCCCCCACCACGCCCAGCAACTGGCACCTTTTCTATTGGAAAAGATTGTGTAGGGGAACTAAGTGGGAGGACATAAGGAAAACCAAAGAGTAGCATAAATAGATTATGTAATTTATCAACCCACCCAGGACATGTCTGATAGTAAAAAGGACTATCTAGGACTCACTCTAGGAATAAAGGTATAAACCAGCTGGGACCATACTGGGAAAACCAGGACATGTGGTCACCCTAAGATTAGGAAAAGAAAGAGTGTCAGGAACCTTAGGAAGTGAATAGGGCAGTTGCCGGATAATGCAAAAAAGGAATAACTGAGATGTCAGGTCAGTGCCTGGGATGTGTGCAGTGGAATGGTGAGGTGTGCAGATAAGGAAAACATTTGAGCTTAGACTGATGTTGGCGGGGAGAGGTTGCTGTGTTCATGACTCCAATATAACCATCCAGGTCTGAGCCAAGGTAGGCCTTGACTCTGGGTTCTATCATTCTTGTTAGAGTATCAGGTCGAGGCTTTAAGTTGAGAGTTGGGAGGGAGACTGGGGAAGGAGGAGGATCAAATGGTTCGAGTTCTAGAATATGTGGCTCTATATGAGAGGTTGAACTGAATCATCAATCCTACATAGATTGGGTCTCCATATTCAAGTCTACATTAGAAATCCCCATAAACTCAATTCAATCTTACTGTATGTTCTCAAACATACAGTTCTATTTTAGGTTTGCAAAGAAAAAGGGCTCCTCTTTTAGATTCTGAGAAGTTTCTACTATTTTAGGCAAGTAATAGATAACATATTCTGACTATGAGTGGGTCGGGAAGTACCTTTAAATTATATGCCTCAGTTTCCTCGTCTGTAAAATTGGGATAATGAGATTTTCTACATTTTAGGTTGTTGTGGGGATTAAATGAAATACAGGTAAAGTACTTGGTCCAAAGTAAGTGCTTAATAAGTGTTAAAGTGTTAGCTGCATTATTATTCTAGATGGAAGGGTTTCCCCCATGTTCAGCATGTAAGATATGCCCTATGCCATGGTTCTTTCTGAACTATAAACAGGATCCTTTTACTCACGTTGGGTAGTGGTCTTTGTGACCGTCACTCTGGTAGATCCCTTGTCTCTTCAACTCCAATAGTCATCTTCATGACTACGTGGTTAATTGAAGCAAAACGCCTTCCCCTGCCCCTATTCCTATGAATCTGGCTTTTCTGCTCTGTTTTCATCTTTCTCTGCATTGACACAGGTGCTCCGTTCACAGCTAACAGAACGTTATCTTACCTCTTCCTGGCAAAGCTTACACCTTCATCTTCTGTCTGAAAGGACCCTTCCAAGCTCTAGGCTCATTAGCAAAGCAAAGATAATTGATGCATGCAGAACTCATTGAATAATCAGTCCTCTCTCAGTTCAGTTTACCACCTCTGTTCATTTCCCTAGATCATCCCTAATACACCACTCCTTCGAGTTTTCTTCTTCCACATATTTTTTCACAATCTCATTATTATGCACATCATAATTTTGCATCATGCATGCATGAAAACAATAACAAGCCATTTTCATTAAAAAAGACCAGTATCATCCATTCACAGCCAAGTTTCTGTTCTAGACATATTTCTAGTGTTCTTGTGTGTCTAGCTAAGGGAGGGTCCAGGGTTAATGAAATATCCCTGATTTTTCATTAACAAAACCTTTGTGGACTCAGGTGGAGAGACTTATCCAAGAACGTGGCTGGGAGTTCATGTGGAATGAGCGTTTGGGATACATCTTGACCTGTCCATCTAACCTGGGCACTGGACTTCGGGCAGGAGTGCACATCAAACTGCCCCTGCTAAGCAAAGTAAAGGAGTTGTGGGGTTACAGAGGGGTGTGAGTAAGGAAGGGTGGGTTGTGGATGGGGAGGGAGTGGACCCTTTGGAAAGGAACCAAACATGTTGTGGCTAAAGGGTCAGGGGACAGGCCAGGCACAGCGGCTCATGCCTGTAATCCCAGCACTCGGGAGGCCAAGGCGGGCCGATTACCTGAGCCCAGGAGTTCAAGACCAGCCTGGGGCACCGGTGAAAGCCCCATCTCTACTATAAATGCAAAAGTTAGCTGGGTGTAGTGGAGGCTGAGGTGAGAGGATCACTTAAGCCTGTGATCACTCCAGCCTGGGTGACAGAGAGAGATCCTGTCTGGAAAAAAAAAAAAGTCAGGAACAGAGCTCTGAGCAGGTTCAGGCTCTTTCAGGTAGGACTAGTCTCTGCCTCTATCGACCGTGCTCCAATCCCTATCTCCTCTCTAGGATACCGCTTCCCAAAGATCCTGGAGAACCTAAGACTCCAAAAGCGTGGTACTGGAGGAGTGGACACTGCTGCCACAGGCGGTGTCTTTGATATTTCTAATTTGGACCGACTAGGCAAATCAGAGGTGAGATCCTAAGGGATTAGGGTGAGGAGAGCTATAGGTCTGTGGGGGCTGAAATATGGCAGTGAGTGAGCCTCCGGGATGTAACATAATCTGAAATGAAATTCAGGTCGAGTGGGGAGGCAACTGGAAATGAGCAAGCAAGTCAGTCAGTGCTAAAGAAAAGCTCAGATTGTAGGAAGCAGAGATCAAGATTAGTGTCCTTCAGGTGGAGCTTGTGCAGCGGTGCATCGATGGAGTAAACTATTTGATTGATTGTGAAGGCGTCTGGAGAGAGGCCAGGATATCCGCATCCCCACACCTGTCATCCACACCAAGCATTAACTCCCCCCACAACTGATGTCTCAAGATTTCCAGGAGTTCTGCTCATTCTATGATGGCCTTTCTACTTGCTCTGGACCTGCCCCGCATCCCCTGCCTCCATCTAGTAAAGACTCCTTGCTATGCTGCAGCTGTCTATGTTTATTTCTAATGGTGGGGTGAGGAGGGGAGGCAGGCTTCAGGAATGAAAAGAGGCAGTGGGATTATTTATGATGGAAAGAGACTCCAGATATGGCATCCTGGGAACACTGTTTCAGGGTGGTGGAAAGCATTAACATTTACCCATATTCCTCATCAGCTTCTGAAAATAATCAGGATGCACTTCTGTTGCACTTTATTCATTATGACTTAAGATTTCTCTCCCCACAATCTCCTTCTACTGTAGAGACAGGCTCAGAGCAGGTGGCCAAGGAAGCTGATAGTCAATACCAGGGACCAGGAAGGTCGTGACCAGTCCTGGAGGCCCCAGGCTGTACTTCGACCTATAATAGACAGGGAATGGAGTCATATCACAACTGTGCTCTCCAGGAGCATTGATACTTGGAAATTAGCGCTCTGCCTGTAGACTCCTTCACTCCAGGGATCTCCCTGGGTGCACTCTAAGAGCCAGACAGCACCAGATTAGGGGTTTGATTCGGGGTCAGGAGACGGAGGCTCAAGCTGTGCAGCTGGGAACTCACCTTGCTGTTCCGGGCTCTCCTTGCCCTCATGCTGGGCCCATGCAACTGCTCGTCGCTGCTCAGGACTCAGAAAGGCCATTTGCTCAGGAGTGACAGCCACAGCCTGAGCACTGGTGAGACTAGATAGTTGGTGGGACTAAACACCACCTGGGGCAGGGTAGGAATCAGTGCATGCCAGTTGGGCCCTGGCTCTCCTGTGGTCACCCAGTCCATTAATACTTACAGCAAATTTAGGAGGAGGGATGACAGAAATGGCAAGAGGAGTAAGGCCCTGGATCTGTCCCTGCAGCAGTGCTGGAAGAGCCAGGTCTGGGATCCCAGCTGTTGAAGCAAGTGGCATCCAAACATTGTCTTAGACTCACCTTCCTTCTCTTCAAACAGATAGACCTTCTCTAACTACTCCCAACCAAGTGCCTAACCGTAGACCTTCCCCAGTATGTCTCTAGCCCCTTATTTAAACACCCTCTCAGGTCCCCACTTAAGAATTGCAGGGCAGTTCCATCCAGTCCACCCATTGTATAGAAACCAAACCAACTTGCACCAGCAGTAGCCCAGCTCCCCACCTGTCTATGGTGCCAATTTCAGTGAAGATCTCAGGCCCCCAGTTACTGATTGGGCCAAAGCCACCAGGCAGTACAAGGAGGGTGGGCCAGAACCTCCAGTTGTTCTTCAGAGCACTGGAGATGCAGGGTGCCCAGGAAGAGAGCTGCTTGGCTGTAGACAGTGGGAAGGAAGGAGAAGAATCAGCTTCAGCGAAAGAGGCTGTGGTCATGAGACAAAGGAAGAGATGGCTTCAGATGAGTTCCCCTTCTCCATGGGACCAGACCTTCATGATCCTTCTTTCCCAGTAAGTCCACCTTTACCTCAGCACCACCACCCACAGCCCTTACAAGTGACCTAAACTTCCAACTGCTGATGTGCTGTGGAGCTCCTCTGGCCGCATCACAGAGCGTAAACCCAGCGCTGTCGATGAATGAAGTCCAGGTGCTCCACATGCCACCACTCTGCCGTAGGAAACTGGAGACCACAACGCGGAGCTGGGGTGGGGGTTGGGCAGAGGGAAGGAAAAAGTTATGGAGAATGAATGGACAGGGAAGTGATAGTGTGCTGGGTTACACTCTGTTACTATTAAGACCTAAAGAGTCACGGGAGGCTGAGGGCTCAGAAAAGAAAAGGATAGAAAAAGAAGAGGCCTCCAGGAAAGAGGTAGGAGACAGTATTATGTGTTCAGGGCCTCAGGTGAATAAATCAGAGTCCTGAAGGTCACTAGTAGGGGTATCAACAAAAGATAGAAAGAATGACCAGGTAGGGTCACAGGAAAAAATCCTTTGGGCTTTAGATGATCTACAGGGCTGGTCTGTGGGATGGTGTTTGGAAGTGGTAGGGAGGAGGAAAGGTGTTACCTGAGTGGGAGGCTCCAGCCATCTATCTGCCCCAGGGTGCTCAGCACTCCCAGTCCACTAGGATCAGCTCCTGTAGTTTCCCGATTCTCCTAGACCGATTAAAGACCGACCGGCTGCAGGATCTGCTCAGGACGAACCGGGGGGGACCCCACAACTAGGAGAAAGAGAGAACACAATGTAGGTGGAAAAGCAGTGGACTGGGAGTCAGAATGCTGGGTTTTAAGTCTTTGCCTCTTGGTATACCCTTAGCTGTATAACTCTAGGCAAGTCACCTGCCTTTTCTTTAGTTTCCTCCACTGTCAAATGAGACAGTTGCCTTACAGTTCCTCTAACGTGTTTTGAAAGACATTACAGTCAGTGGAAAAGAAGAGCAGACTAACTCTAGTCCATGAGTTCTACACTTTTATGTGCATCAGACACAGAGACATTTATTAAAACACAGATGCCTGAGGCCCAGCACAGTGGCTCACAGCTGTAATCCCAGCACTTTGGGAGGCTGAGGTGGGAGGATTGCTTGAGTCCAGCAGTTCAAGACCATCCTGGGCAACATAGCAAAACCCCATCTCTACCAAAAATACAAAAGTTAGCCAGGTATGGTGGCGTGCACCTGTAGTCCTAGCTACTTGAGAGGCTGAGGCAGGAGGATCCTTTGAGCCCAGGATGTAGAGGTTACAGTGAGCCAAGATCACACCACTGCACTCCAGCCTGCGTGCTGGGTGACAGAGTGAGACTCTGTCTCAAAAAAAAAGAAAAAAAAAGGCAGATGCAGATGTCTGGACTCCTTCCCCCAGAGGCTTATTTTTTTATTTATGAGACAGGGTCTTGTTTTGACACCCAGGCTGGAGTGCAGTGGTGCGATTTTGGCTCATTGCACCCTCCACCTCCTGGGCTCAGAGGATTCTCCTACCCCAGCCTCCCGAGGAGCTGAGATTACAGGCATGCGCCACCACACCCAGCTAATTTTTTTTCTATTTTTAGTGGAGACAGGGTTTCACCATGTTGCCCAGTCTGGTCTCAAACCTCTGGGTTCAAGCAATCCATCTGCCTCAGCCTCCCAAAGTGCTGGGATTACAGGCGTGAGTCACTGCGTCCAGCCTCCCCAAAGGTTTTTATTAAGTCAGTCTAGCATGGTAATCGGCACTGGCATTGTTCCTGTGCTTGGTTCAGCAGTACATACACATAAAAACATTGGAATGATACAAAGATTAGCACAGCGCCTATGCAAGGATAACATGCAAATTCATGAAGCATGCCATTATTATTATTATTTTGTTTATTTATTTATTTATTTTTATTTTTATTTTTTTCGAGGTGGAGTCTCGCTCTGTCGCCCAGGATGGAGTGCTTTCTTGACCTTGCCTCACTGCAAGCTCCACCTCCCGGGTTCACCCCATTCTCCTGCCTCAGCCTCCCAAGTAGCTGGGCTACAGGTGCCCGCCACCACGTCTGGCTAACTTTTTTGTATTTTTAGTGGAGATGGAGTTTCACCATGTTAGACATCATGGTCTTGATCTCCTGACCTCATTATCCGCCCACCTCAGCCTCCCAAAGTGCTGGGATTACAGGTATGAGCTACCGCTTCTGGCCGAAGCATGCCATTTTTTTTTTAAGAAAGAAAGAAAAAAAGAATAAAGAAAAAAATCTGTTCCCTTGATGATTCCGATACACATTAAAATTTGGTAACCACTGCTATATTCCCTCTATTCATTATACTAGCTCTCTTTCCTCAATATTTATCCCCACTCACCTCCTACTTGTGACCCAAATCTTCTAATTCTTTTATCTCCTGCTTCCCCCACCTCTCATCCAACTCTATATTCTCTTTGTGTCCTACATCACACCCAAAGAGCTTCTTCATGGCCAACCCCAGTTGACTCTCCATCACTAACCTGTTTTGCTTTGCCCATGGCTGCCTGCAGTTCCTCAGGCCCAAGTCCTGGGTCCCCTGCAAATAGTGTCAGGCAGTCCTCAAAGTCTGAGAGCTTCATCTCTGCAATCTGGGTTGCAGACCAGGCTGCTGGGAATGTCCCTCGTACATCTGCACAATTTGGCACAGGTTCTGAAGGGGGAAGACAGGGTCAGGAGGTCAGTATGGTAATAAAATGTGCCCAGAGATATCTGTAGATGGAATGACTCTTCCAACCTTTGGAGGATGGAGCACTGTGGCAAGTAGGGATCGAGGGAATATTACAGAGTAAGATGAACAGGGCTTAGAAGTTAATAGAACAAGAAGTGATTGGAGATGCCAAGTCCCTTGTTTTATAGATGGAAGACTGAGGACGTTGGTCAGGGATTTAATGGCAGAGCTGAATTTGAACCCAGTTCTCTAGCCTCACAATGTCTCCCTCAAAGCTTCTAGGGATCTCCCCAGCAGAGAGCTCCACACTTAGCCGAGCTAGAGCTGAATCAGCTGTTTAAAGAGACAAGACAGCAGGAAAACGGAAATTCTGGGCTAAAAGAAAACTTAATAGTTTACAAACTCCCAAAGCTATAGAATTCTAGAACTAGAAGAGACTTGAAAATCATCCCTCTAACCTCTTCTTTATAATTAGAAAACCCAGTCCCAGAGAAAAGCATATGCAGAACCCAAACTATTTGATACTCCCTGTACATCCTGCTGGACATATGAGTATTTGGGTAGTTTCACCTGGAAGATCCTCAGCAGCTGGTCGCACAACCCCTGCTACCAGGGCTGCTTTCTTGGCAGCCAGCTGTGGCCCCCTACACAGCTGTCCAATTCTGCTCTGCTCCCAGCTCTGCTGCTTTTCTAGAAGCCGCTCCAGGGTCTCTGGACCCAAGGCCTCCTGCATGAGAAGGTAGAAGGAGAGTAGGGAGATCTGGACAGATCAGGGCCTGCTGCTGTAGCTGTAATTCCAAAGTCCGGTCTCTGTTTCGCAGTCTCCCCCTAGATATACGCTTTATATCCTTTGCCCTCTTTGGCCATGGGTCCCCATAACCAGCTCACCAGTCCCCTCTATGCATTTACTCCCTTCCCTTCTTCCTTCATCTCACCCTGGGGATCAAGGAAATTGCCTCAGTAGACAGAGTGAACACTAGGCATCCAGCTTGCTCTACTTCATCCTGGCTCCACAACTCTGGTTTCCTGGGGACAGGAAGAAAATCGGGGGCTGGGGAGCTGAGGGAACTGTGAGGAAAAGGAAGGGGAAAAGAGGACATGCTAGGATTTGGGACACAGGGCTCCAAGGGACCTTAAGAATATAGAACAGACTGCCACTGATGATGGTGGTTGAAGGATTGGGTACAGAATGAGTTAGAATCTGGAGTTCTCAAAGGTCCATACCCAAGAACAGACTCCTGCAATAGCAGCCATCCCAGCTCTGTGGCAAATGTCTCTCCTAGGCAGAAACCTTGCAGCTGACTGAGATGGGACAGCAGGATCTGTAGGGGGATCTGTCGTGTGCTCTCTATCCCCAGGAATCCAACCAAAGGGCCTAAGGTCTCCAGCACTTCCCCTGAGAGTGGAGTCTCCTTTGGAGCCTGGAGAAGAGCATCAGAACTTGGACAATGCACTTCTGATTCAGGGTACCAGAAACCTTGATCAAGACACCAAGCCCCTTGACCTTCTCTCCTGCTCCCAACTCAGCACCCTATGATGCTTACTACCTTCGTTCACTTTCTTAAGCAATGAGCCCACACAGGAGCAGGCAGAAAGTCTGAGAGGTGGACTGCAAGAGATTTCTTGGACTCCAAGAGGTTTGGACAATTAGCATGAAGCATATTATCAAGGAACGGAACCCAGAGGGAAAACGGGGGCCAGGCCTTGAAGACAGGAACCTGTTCAGCAGCAGGAAAGCAAGAAGTAGAGTACTGGGAGACAGTCAGAGAGCACTGTCTGAGGAGCAAGAATTGCCCAGGGCAGCAAATCTGAGTCTCGTAGGGTGGACTCTTACCAGGTTTTGTAGTGCCCTCTCTGCCAGGGCTGCCTGGTGGAGTGGGGTCAGTGCCAGCAGCTGCTCTGGAGCTCTTTGCACCAGCTCCACCACCAACATAATGGATTCATTGGATAGTCTGTCCATCAACTGGATTCTATTATAGCAATTTGACAACAACAGCATTCAGTTGGAACTGGGCCAATTCGAGAAGGGACCACAGAACCCCACAGTCCCCAGGTAAGATGTGACCCCAGGCCAAACTTAGTGAAGCTGGACAGGAACTGATAGTAAACAGCTCCAGGGCCAATTCCCACCATCAAGCTTGAACGGGAGAGAAAAAGGGAGTGACATATTTCTAGTCTTCCTAAAAAAAAAACAAAAAACAATCCTACCTGATCTAATGGACTCAAAAGCTCCAAATATTAACTACCATTAACATTTCCCCATTTTATAGATTAAAAAACTGAGGTTCACAGAGATCAAATGTTGAGGTTTCTCACTCCCAATTCCCGTTTTTTTCCACAGGGCCACCCTTCCTCTACTTGTGAAGAGGTCCCATCTTGTTTGTATGTGCTACACAATTTACAAAGTTCTTTCAGGTGTTATTTCATTTGATCCTACAAGACCTGGCCTCACTTCATCACCCAGGCCTGAGCACAGTGGTGCTGGGATCTCAGCTCACTGCAACATCCACCTCCCAGGTTCAAGCAATTCTCATGCCTCAGCCTCCCGAATAGCTGGAATTACAGGCACGCGCCACCACGCCCAGCTAACTTTTGTATTTTTAGTAGAGAGAGGCATTTTGCCATGTTGGCCAGTCTGGTCTTGAACCCCTGATCTCAGTGATCCACCCACCTTGGCCTCCCAAAGTGCTGGGATTATAGGTGTGAGCCACTGCGCCTGGACAAAATAGGTGTTTCTTTTATCCCTCTTTCACAAATGAGGAACTCAAGTTTTTTGATGCATTGTCCAGGACCTTTCACCTCATCTATAACCTTGGAATTTTAAATTATCTCACAGAACCCATATATTTAAACAGATTTGAATGGCATTAAAAAAAGTAAAAACAGGCTGGACGTGGTGGCTCAAGCCTGTAATCCCAGCACTTTGGGAGGCCAAGGCAGGCAGATCACAAGGTCAGGAGTTCGAGACCAGCCTGACCAACATGGTGAAATCCCGTATCTACTAAAAATGCAAAAATTAGCCGGGTGTGGTGGCACACACCTGTAATCCCAGCTACTCAGGAAGCTGAGGCAGGAGAATTGCTTGAACCCGGGAGGTGGAGATTGCAGTGAGCTGAGAAGGTACCATTGCACTCAAGCCTGGGTGGCAGAGCAAGACTCTGTCTCAAAAACATAAATAAATAAATAAATAAATAAATCCCTTTTGCCCAGAAATCAGAGGTGATAACCTGTACCCTACCTAGGATTGCCAGTTCTGGAACTGGGCTAAGTCATACAAGAGCTAAAATATGTGGAAACGCTGATAAAAATGTAAGAAGGCTGGGAAGCTGAGGTAGGCAGATCACTTGAAGTCAGGAGTTCAAGACCAGCCTGGCCAACATGGTGAAAGCTCATCCCTACAAAAAATACAAAAATTAGCCTGGCATGGTGGTGCACATCTATAGTCCCAGCTACTCGGGAGACTGAGGCAGGAGAATTGCTTGAACCTGGAAGATGGAGGTTGCAGTGAGCCGAGATGACGTCACTGCACTCCAGCCTTGGTGACAGAGCAAAACTCTGTCTCAAAAAAACAAAACAAAACAAAAGTAAGAATGAAGTCAACTACTTTTACTCCATTTCATCTCCATATTCCCCAGCAAGACTGTAATACCAGCATTTTCTTATTCTGACTTACAGTGCAGATGGCAATGGGGTGGTGGTAGGGGTAAAACGAGAAAAGCAGCATACGAGTAAGATACTAATAAACTTCTCTATGGGTAGGGAGAAGCCTTGGGTTCCTATAGCCTTTTCTTCCCACAACCTATATATGAACGTGCTCTACAACATTCCTACCATGGGGCCATCTGACCTAGGCTCAAACAGCTCCAAGGACCACGAACTCACTACCTTAGTTTTTCTTATACTATGTAAAAATCTGATCTCCATTAACGACTCTTAGTCTTGCCCAATGGGGCCACTCGTAAATATGACAATCTAATTTCTACTTGATAGCCCCTCAGGTATTTGAAGGCATTTATCACATTTTTCATACATTTTCTCTCGATCTACTCCTCTGAATGCACTAAGAACACAGTGCCCTGAGCAAACTACAATCCTCTGGGGCAGCATTGGAGCATTGCCTCCCTCACTTCAGACACTATCTCAATCTCAATTAATGTGGACTAGGTTATTGTAAGATTACTCGGCAGGCCTCAATACAGTGTTGCCACCCTCTGCTGCCCCATGCTGGAGTATATTCTGGGAACCAGTCAACACATAGAGCAGCTTTGAATAAAATCCTCTGCTGTGGGCTATAAATGATGTCAGGGAACTGCCAGACAGAAAAACCGCCTCCTCTAGGGCATTCCCTAAGGGCAGATCTTCACCCCAGATTGAGCTTTCTGAGGGGCCAATATTTCTAGCTGCAGTACTTACGGTAAGTCCAGGAGTAGCTTGCTATCCAGCCCATTCAGTTCTGGCCCTAGAGTTGTCCATTCTGGTTCTGGCATTGCCATCCTCCGCTGTAGCTCTGCCCAGATACAGGCCCTCTGTAGGGAAGCAGGGTGAGGCCAGAGCAGAACATAGGAGCTAGCTTCTATACCTAGGGTCTCAGCCTCCCTGCTCCCACTAATGTCCAGGCACCCCCTCTCACCAGGCTCCCTCGAACTCTAGTGGGCAGCTGATAGATCATGTGCACCACTTCAAGGAAGTCTACCATGGAGTTGATCTGCTGCAGAAACTCACAGGACATGCCCCCTGCCAGGGTGCCCAGAGCTCTGTGGGTGTGAGAGTCGGGAGATGCTCATTCAACACATACAACAGCCTGTTTGCTCCTTGTTATCAGTACTCTCAACACAAGTACAGATGTTCATTCATGGCAATTTATGGTTTGAGAAATTTTTTACATAGATATTCTCATCAGCTCCCCATAACATCACTGCTGTTTATCAGAGAAGAAAATAAAGATTTACAGAGGTCAGGTGACATTCCCAACATCATTCTACTAGAAATGTGGTAAACTGAAACTAGAGCCATGTCTTAGATTCTGAAGCCCTTGGGAGGCCAAGGTGGGTGGATCACATGAGGTCAGGAGTTTGAGACCAGCCTGGCCAAAATGGTAAAACCCCATCTCTACTAAAAATACAAAAATTAGCTGGGCATGGTGGCACGCACCTGTAATCCCAGCTACCCCAGAGGCTGAGACAGGAGAATCGCTTGAACCTGGGAGGCAGACGTTGCAGTAAGCCGAAATCACACCACTGCACTCTAGCCTGGGCAACAGAGCAAGACTCTGTCTTGGAAAAAAAAAAAAAAAAAAGATTCTGAAGCCCATTGTTCTTTTACTGTGGGTGTAAGTAAAGTGATACCTTCTTATTCCTATTTATTCTTGCTTGGACGGTGCCTCTGAAGTCACCCTGAAGTAAACTAATAGTAGCAAATGCCTACTGGGAGTTTACAATGGACCAGGCACTGTGTTACATATCTCACATGACTTACCTCATTTAATCTTCACGATAACTACCTATGAGGCTGGTGCCATTGTAATTCTCATTTAAAGAAGGGAAAACTGACACAGGGAGGTTAAATGACTTGCCCAAGGGCACAAGTAGGTGACAAGACTGGAACCTGAATCCAGGTTTTCTGAGTCCTTTGGCTCTAGTCAGGATAGGCATGGCACTGTGGAAGGACAGGAGGCCAAAGGGAGGAGCTAGGAGAACGTACATGAGGCAGGGACTATGCACCATTCATCCCTATATCCCCCATTCCATATCACACGGTGCCTGGCACATACTAAGCACTCAAAAAAATGTTGGTCGCATTCAGCGCACTGCTCAACACAAGTTACTCACTGTAGATTCCTGAGGGTCAGGTTGGTGGGTACTTGCATCTTCTTCCAGAGAAACTGTGCCTACAAGAGAAAGAAAGAGGAACCACTTCCCAGAAGAGACACTGTCCAAGGATACTCCCTAGAGTAGAGAGGCAGGACTGCCTTGGACCCAGTCCTGCCTCTTCACCCTGTAGGACGCAGCAGCCTCTGACTTTCCCAGATGCTCACTCTTCTCTCGGAGAGTGAGAAAGAAATGAAAGAAAAGGGAAGGAGAAAGAAAAAGAATAGCAAGTCAAATTATAAGGGATACTAGGGGGCTGGGTGCAGTGACTCAGGTCTGTAATCCCAGCACTTTGGGAGGCCAAGGCAGGAGGATTGCTTGAGGCCAGGAATTCAAGACCAATCTGGATAGCATAGTACCTTAACATAGTGTCTCCACAAAAATTTTAAAAATTGGCTGGGCGTGGTGGCTCACACCTGGAATGCCAGCACTTTGGGAGACCGAGGCAGGCAGATCACAAGGTCAGTAGTTCGAGACCAGCCTGACCAATATGGTGAAACCCCCATCTCCACACACACACAAAAAAAATTAGCCAGGCACGGTGGCGGGCATCTGTAGTCCTAGCTACACGGGAGGCTGAGGCAGGAGAATCACTTGAACCAGGAGACAGAGGGTGCAGTGAGCCGAGATCGCGCCACTGCACCCCAGCCTGGGCAACAGAGCAAGACTCCATCTTAAAAAAAATTTTTTTTAAATTAGCCAGGCATGGTGGTAACCACCTATAGTCCTAGCTATTCCATGAGGCTGAGGCAGAAAGATTGCCTTAGCTCAGGAGTTTGAGGCTACAGCGAACTCTGATCATGCCACTGCACTCCAGCCTGAGCAACAGAGTGAGACTGTCTCAATCAATCAATAAAGCATACTAGGGAGAAGCTGACCAAATAGGGCTGAGGGATGGGTAAAGAAGGTAGACTATATTGAGGAAGGGAGTTCTGAAATTAAATGGGGAGAATTACCTGCTGCTCAGACCAGGGCAGCTCCCGGTAGTGTCTTCGGTTTGCCAGAAGAGCCAAGGAATCCAGTTGTAGCAGCTTTAATGGGAGCAGGGGAAGCAGGCAGTCTGGCCAGGTGGTGGGAACAGGCTGCTGGCAGCGATGGGTATAGCAGTGTAGTGATAGGTGAGAGTGTGGACTTGGCACTCAGAGAGAAGAAATCATGGGGGTGGAAAGGGACCAAAGCTGGGACAGAAGTGGAATGGCATTTGCCACTGTAGCAATAAACGCCTAAGAGCCTCACACTGCAGGCTGCTGTGGTCAGGTGTTGCTGCTAGTTAGGCACCAGGCGAACAAAGTCCCTTAGCTTCTCTGAGCCTTGGTCTTTTCAGCTGAAAGCAGGGTGGGTGGCCTGGAAGATTTCTCAGGCCCTCGCAGCTTTGACATTAGTCTAGGACAATGTGGGTGGATCATGCTGTCCTGCATCTGAACTGGGGAGGGCTGCTAATGGGTACAGAGCTAACCAGAACTCTCAGGGCCACTGCAGGGTAGTGGGGGAGGCAGCACCAGCCATATGAAACTGCCCCAAAATGGGGAGAGGAGCTCAGCTGGGAGATCTCACACTTACCTGACCAGGGACACACACAGCTGGACCAGCACCTGTTGTACCCATATTTTTAACGCCATCTTTAACCTGCAAGAGAATTGGGTGTGTGTGTGTGTATGTGTGTAAGTGGGGGGGTATGAAGAAAGGCCTTCCCTGGCCTCAGGGAAGACGCCTTCCTCCCAACCAGAGAGAGCCCGTATCCCTGATTGTCTCATCCTCCTTGCTACTCTCATACCCGAAAGGTCTGCAGCAGTGCTGCGGTCTGGCAGGCTGAGAGGCGTGACAGTTCAGGGGCCAGGCAGGAACAAGCCCCAACCAGGACTCGCCTAGGGATGGCCTGGAGTGTCTGGGGGCTGAGGCCCGGCAGCAGAAGATGCAAGGAGCAGAGTTCCTCCAGGGATAGCTAAGGAGCAAGAGAAACAAGAGGCCTGAAGAGGAAGGGAAGGGTGGTGGGGAAGACAACAATCACAATGCAGCAAGGCAATAAGTATGAGGGGAGTGGAGAGAGAGGAGGGGCAGATGCAGAAGCCAGGGGAAAGGGGGATTGAGACCTCTGGCGAGAGGCTGAGGTTGCAGCTACTCACATCGTGCCTAGGAAGGAGCCGTCCAAGCAGCAGGACAGCCTGTGTTGGGATGGGACCAAAAACAACAGCTCTCAGGACCCAGCAGCCAGGTCCTAAGTGGGTTCCTAAGGCAAACCCTCCAAAACTTCCCACTCCCTCTTAAACATCCCCAGTAACCATCCTCAGTGACTCAGGTCCCTTCTTGATCTGAGGAAAAGGGAATGAAGGTGTCCTCGTGTGGACAGAGTTTACCTCTATTGTTCACCCAGGGAAAGGAGGGGCTGGTTTTATCCCTGAATGGGATTCTCTTGACAGGGCTCAAGCAGGGATGGAGGGTGCACGCCAGGGAGTGAGAGAGGCAAACCTGAGCAGGTGTAACACTAGCTCCCTGCAGGACAGGAAGCATGGCTCTAAGCTGGGGCTCTGACAACTCCTGCAGGAAGCGGAGGCCCAGCTGAGGGAAGAGAGGGGCCCAGACCTGCAGCTCCCGGGGGCTCAGCACCGCACCTCCAGATGAGCGCAACACCCCCAGAAGTTCATATGCCACCTGTAACCAAAGAAGGTTTAGGACTGGAGAGAAAAGACAGATGAACCTTGAACTTCCTCTCTAATCCCACATCTGAATTTCCCAGGGCTTGGGCTAGGGTTTGGAACTAGGGATTGGACTGGAGTAGATTAGGTTCAAAATGGCAAAGGGTGTGTTTGGGGTGCCACAGACCAGATAGGGAAGGGCCAGGAAGAGGTGGTAACAGGTAAGAATGGCCATGGAGTAAGGAATGGAGGTTGCAAAAGCGGGATGGGGGCCTGGCACCACTGTGCTCAAGTTGACACAATGGGAAAGCCATCCACACAGACCCAGGGGAAGCCCACAGTCTTCTAGGCTTGTGCTGAGGGGCTCACCCGTCCTTCCGGGCTGAGGGTCCCGTTGGCTGCACATTCCAGCAGCCCCCGTTCTACTGGCCCCATCGGATCACTCAGGGGCACTAGGCTCTGCAGCTCCTCAGGGCTCAGGAAACAGGCGAGGGGCCCAAGCCTGAGGAGGGCATGAAGCTGACCTTTGTGTGGTCCCTGAGACTAGCACTAAGGCAGGCCTGGCAGCAGACCGTGTGGGTACATACACTGGGCACTCTGACCACTACACCACTACACAGGGGCACCATCTATAGACCTCTCCTGGAACTCTGTGCTGCCTGGGGCCACTGCCTACTCCCTTGCCCCTTCCTTCCTAGAACACCTACCCACCATGACACCTGTACCTTCCTCTCTCTACCTCTTCCACTCTGGCCTTGGTTACTGATCCCACAACTCACCTGCGTACCTGCTCCTCACCATCCTGGACACTCTGGTTTACCAGGCTGCGCAGCACATGGCGAGCATGCCCGGGCCCCAGACCTGCTGCTGGCCAGCTATCCTCCAGGGCCTGGATCTGAGATGGGGGAAGTTAGCTCCGTTACGCTCGCCACTGGGGTCACTGTGGGGTTCTTGCAGGGAGGGACCCCACTGAGAGACATGCCATTGACTCTCGTCCCCACTAGCAGAAGATGGACCAGTCAATAGGAGCAAGATATT